TACCACAGCAGAAGAAATTCCTCTCCTAAGAACAGACTTAATTATTGACAACAATCAATGCTGTGTGCTGTTTGCATGACCCTGGGTTTTAGGGCAGAGGGCGGCTGCACATGTGGAAAACTCGGCGGCACTAAAGAGAGAGGTTCCTAAGCATTAGCATAAGGCAGAAAGCAGAGTGTCCAAACCTGGCCATTTCCACAGAGCAAACAAATTCCATGGCACCTTCCCCCATGAGAAGCTGGTTGGTACAAGACACAGAACGCTGTGTTTTGAACTTGACCTTCCTGCCCTTGGTGCTACAATGTTTCTCTGCTGTAGGAGGGAGGGAGGGGGCAGGGCAGGAAGAGCAGGCAGAAGGAAAGAACACGTTCACTCAAGTTTCCTGTCCCTGTCCTTTGCTCAAGCAGACCCGGGACCTACACTCCACCAGGGGTAGGTTATGGAGAGCGTCTAATTGCCAAGAAATGAGTCAGGCCAAGCTACGGAGGAGCCGCACCATGGTGTCCCCAAAGTCACTTCCCTGTCAGACACTTATCATCAAGGCTGCCAGTTTCAGAGTCCCCTGGATTCCCTCAAGCCAAATGTTGTTTCCGTGTCAAAAGGATGTGCTGCCAGGTAATCCTCATACTGCCCATCAATCAGTTTGGCCGCGCTGTTCCTGGCAAACCAGCAGTCGACCTGCTCTTCCCCATTGTAAATCTTCCTCTGTTTCCAGACCACTGGGACGCGGCGCTCTTTCACCTTCAGGACAGGCTCAGACCCCCGTCCTGGCTGGGAGGACGGAGGGTGAGTGAAGTTCTGGCTGAGCCCGGCGGGCTGCTCGGTGAGTCTGGCATCCTGGTTCAGGAACTGACCTGGGAGGACACAAGCAGCATGGTGTCTAGGTCAAAGTCAAACGTGGACAATGTCATGTTGAAATCTAACTGCTAGGTGGGACTCGCCCAGAGGTGTTCACACATTCCCAGTGCGGTGACAGAACATGTGTTCTGGAGGGGATGGGTGGAGACAGACTCCAGGAGTTTGGTTCAGGATGGGGGCCACTGCCAGCAAGTAGAGATGGCCACAGTCTCCTGCTGGCTTTGGGGGACAAGACAGGCAGATAAGTGGGGAAGCAGGGTCAGGTCTCTCCCTTTCCTCCCCAGTTATAGGTCCCCCTCCACACTGTCTATTTGGTGCTGTGTACCAGGGTCAGGTGTGGAAAGAAGTCAGTTCAAGTCATTCCTGACACTCGTCCTTGGAATTCTCCAGGTCAAGTGAGGGCATTGCTTAGGCCAGAGGAACACAGACCCACGTCTGCGAGAGGGCACGTGACCTTGGCAGCCAGACACCTGAAGTGCGTCTGCTCAGGGCCAGGAAATCCTGCTTTCTAAACTGGGCCCTGGCAGTGGCTCACTCTTCAGTTTGGGCAAGGGGCCCGGCGAAACTGCACGTTGGAGAAAGCCCACCAGAGCAGCCCACCTGCAGCTCGTGACAGTGAGTGTGACTCCTCGGGAGGGGATGGCTCCTCATGCGGGGTGCTGGGCTGCCCTGTGTCCTCATGCACAGGGATACAGAATCGGACCCTAAGATGATCATTCTCCATTCCTCTGCTTGCTTTCCCAAAAGGCCAATGAGAACAGGTTTATAACACCCATTCCTATTCCAGGAAGTCATCAGGAAGCAAGAAATCTAATTTTCATATTATGTGTGTGTGTGTGTGTGTGTGTGTGTGTGTGTGTGTGTGTGTGTGTGTGTGTGTGTGTGTGTATATATATATATATATGGAAGTCCATATATGTATAAGGACCACATTCCCTTGGAATTTCTCAATCAAGCGAAGATACTGGCAACATCAGCTGCACTTGGGAAATTTAATTTTACCCTTTACAGCCAATGTGGAGAAGAGAGCGCTCCTACCTAACAGTCCGTGGCAGCTGCTGGAAAGGCCTTTGCTGCTGGAGATGTAGAAGCCCAGGTGGTTTCTCTGGAAGGGCGCTGGCTTCTTGTAGAGGTGAATGAGGATGACAAAGGCAATAGAGCCCTGGATGGTGACGGTAACGTTGGCATTGGCAGACACCGACACCTCCAGCCCCTGACTCCCCACCACCGTGCTCCGGTTGCAGGGGAGGACCAGCCTGTCCCCCCCATCCAAGATGACTCTGTTGGGTGTGATCTCGAGATAGTATCTCTGTGGCTTATTGACAAGGATGGTGATGGTGCGGAAGTATGTGCGCTGTTTCTTGTGACCTGTTGGAGGCGCCGGGGCCCCGATTAACTCTCCATTCACTGTCACACCTCAAGGGCCAAAGGTCAGAGAACAATGGTTAGAAAAACTGTCCCCCACTCTCCCACTAAAGGCGTCTAATCAGTATTTCCTTCCTCCTCCTCCTCTACCTTTGTGTCCCCGGCACTGAGAACATTGTCTGACTCACACACAGAGGCCGCCCGGTGCTTCCTGAACCAGTGAATGAATGAGCGAATCATGAAGTTAGGAGTCCTTTCTCCCCATGTCTGATCAATATCTTGGAATGGGGAAGGAGGATGTGGGTTTCGGTCGAGATGTCATGGCAGGGGCTGCATGCTTGTTTGCTTTCATTCCAGCATCTGGTTGTGGTGATAAAAGTCTTCAGTGGCTCTGGTGTGCACTTTGTACCTACCAGCTGCCACTGACCCTAATTTGGAGACCGTAATAACTTCGTATAGCATACATTATACGAAGTTATACGATCAATCCAGGCCTTGAGCAAGGCTTTGGAGCCAGCGCCTCTGGTTCTGTGCTGGTCCAAAAGCAAACATGCACGTGAGTTGCTTGGGACTGAATCGGGTGATACATGTTAAATCTGTTTTGTTCTTTCAACAATAACAGATTGTTAGATGATTAACTGTTGTTTTCTCTGCGTTGGGGAAATCTTCCCAATAAATCTTGACCAGCAGCTTCTTAGTCATTCAAGGACAAAAGTGCCTTCCCTGGGGCAAGGAGTCGGGGACAGGAGAAATCCTAGCATAGACAGCCCATGCTCTCTGGCTTGGAGGCTCTAAGCATCTTTGGGTTGAGTTCCCACCATGGACACCTTGTGGCATACAAATATTTCCCAGAAGTCATGGGAACAGCTCCCAGGAGAGGGGACCCTTCAGGGGAGGGGGGAGGGATATAGTTGGTCCCTATCTCACTTTGAACCCTTTGAAACTAGAAACATTAGAGATTTAGCTCTGAGGATAGCAAGCCTGCCAGAGAACTCAGGGTTAAGGAGCCCCAGGATCACGCTTTACATAATTACGTCATACAGGTCACCCAGCTGGGGGACCCTGTGCATCTAATCTTCCAAGACACCCATTTTCTCAGCACTGAGAAACACCACAATGTCCACTCCATGTGTGGCTGTCCACATGGACGTCCTAAGCATTGTTACCCACATTGAACTGGAAAAGTATTTTTTTGTACTAATTGCTTTTACTCAGTTCCTCTATAGATCAACAGGGACCAGAGCCCCTTTTATGAAGGTGCTTGCTGCACACGGAGCTGTGTGGCTACCATTTGGCTTCACAGCTAAGTCATCAAGGACCTGAGATAGATGGGTCTAGAACTCTGGCCTTCCCCCACCACAGCTTTTGAATGGATAAAGATACAGGTTGAGCATCCCTAATCCGAAAACCCAGAATGTGAAATGCTCCCAAATCCAAAACGTTTTGAGTGCCAGCATGACTCTCACAGGAGATGCTCACTGGAGCATTTCAGATTTCAGATATTTAGATTATGGATGCTCAAATGTTCTGCAAATATTCCAAACAAATCCAAAATCTGAAATACTTCTGGTCCCAAGCGTTTTGGATAAGGAATACACAACCTATAATGACAATAATATATCGTGAATTGCTATGGCACTTGGGCACTGACAAAACAACTTATATCCATTATTTAATTTGATCCACTTTATAATAGCCCTGTGAGGCCAGCAGAGTTTCACTATGTCCATTTTATAAGGGAGACAAGTGCAGCTCCCAAGGCATGTGCCCAGGGCCATAAAACACGTAGGTCATAAAGCAGGGATTCAAATGCTTGTCTTTCTGACTGCAAGTCCAGGAACACAATCCACTGCCTTTAATTCCTCATCAACAGCATTCCCTGAGCATGTCATGTGCTCCTTATGTAACTGGACGTTCATCTTAAGAACGGAGGGGATGGAATTCCTACCCAGCCCAGACCCACACTGGACGGAAGAACTTACCAGAGCCCATGTGATCAGAGACCAGCCTGAGGATGTCCCCGGGCTGCCCATCAATGTTGAAGCAGACAGTGAGTTTGCTCAAGGGGAAATCCACAACGAAATGTGGGTCACCATCCACTGCCAGAACAGTAGAAAAAAAGGAGAGAAAAAGAAAGAAAAGACATTTATTGGGTGCCTTCCATGCAAAAGTACGACTGTTTCTATCTTCTTGTGAATTACTTATTTAATCCTGACAGCAAAACTGAAAGGAAGGTGGCCTCAATTTCTAAATGAGGAAGGTGTATGAGGACAATTACTCCCCAAAGCTACCTCGTTACTCCTGGTAAAGGAAATACCAGACTTCAGGTCTTCTAAATTCAAATCGGATGCTCCTTTCCCCACATCTCAGTGAAATATAGACAACCAAGTTTGGGGAGGGGAGGGGGCCTGAAGAGGAGGGAGACGTCGCCGTACATGCTCAGCTGCCACTGAGTCCACATTCTTCAGTTCCCTCTGTGGATTCCCTGTGTGATTTGTCTTCTCCTTGAACTGCCCATATGAGCAAATCTGCATGAAGACCCTTCCTCTGCTATGACAAGAGTTCTATGGCACTTCTCCCAGGAAGCCCTAGGCTATCTCAGAAACAGTCACAGCGCCAACTGTATGCAATCTTGAATGCAATCACTAAGAGAGAGTCAAGCCCCATGCAGGGGCAGAGACAAGTAGAGTGTAAAGAGTAGACAGGAGGCCAGGCACACGTTCGGTGGTGACAGTGGAAATCTCTCCTTTGGGCACACTGACTTTATCGCTCTCGGATTTCTGTCCACAGAGAAGACCATGAAGTTCAGCTGGTCCCTATTCCTTGTCCTTTCTCCTGTGTTAAAGGTTTACAGTCTTGCTTCTTATTGTGCAGAACAAATCCTGACTTTATCGCTCTCGGATTTCTGTCCACAGAGAAGACCATGAAGTTCAGCTGGTCCCTGTTCCTTGTCCTTTCTCCTGTGTTAAAGGTTTACAGTCTTGCTTCTTATTGTGCAGAACAAATATTTCCCAGGAGTCATATGAATTCTCTTCTCTTGCTAGGTTAGAAATTTAGCTTCCCTCTAATTAATACACCAAGCACAACATGCTTCTGAATGCCTCTCTACTCCAGGCGTATATGTGTGTGCATGTGTACGTGTCTGTGTATGGTGGAGATATGGGCTGGGAGGAGTCCAGTATCTTTGAGCTGCAAGCAAATTAATGCCCTTGTTTAACTGCTGAAAACCCTTGGTGCCCCCAGCATCACTCAGAAGGTCCCTGAAGAGAATCTGGCTGCTCTCACTGTGAACTGCCTCAAGCACCCTGCAAGTGGCAACACATAAAGAAACACAAGGTGCTGGTCTTTTGCAGATGGGGGGAAAAAATGACACCTAGAGACAAAAGCTCTCACCCATGTTTTGGGCACTCTTTAGTCATGAATATGGCTTATTTGACAGTTCTCTGAGACTTCCCATGTGCACATAGCAGATCATTTTTACTCAAATCATTCAAATTCTTTTACAAGGAGAGATGTTGCTTGCTCCAACAGAGAGAGGAGGGGTCCAAAAGTTATAACTCCAGGCAGCGTCCAAGAGGAAGGTTTTCTTGCATTCCAGAAAGCATGTGTGTGTTCAAAGGAATCACATTCGGTCCACTGGAGACTGTGTGGCTTCTCTCTCCATTGCTAATCTCTGGGATGTTCCTGGCTTTATGAACTCACACGTACAGCAAACACATCAGCAGAAAAGACAATAATAAAAAACTTACGCAGGAAGATGTGTGCATTGTAAGAATAAAACCCAGCCCTTATGATGTCCTTCCATCTGGATTTTTATTATAATCCCAGGAACTTGGCAAAAGGATAATATATGACATTTTAAAATGTGTTCTTTGCTTCTAAAGCCAAGGATTAAAAAACAAAAAGACCTGCCTGTCACACCGGCATTTTTATGTTTACAGCCCCAGAGGCTGGATGCATGCATACTTCAGATCTCTAAAACAAATGTCTTTTAAACTCAATAATGATCAAAATGTGTCTCTGGTATCCATCTATTCTCCTATCAGGGCTCCTGCCAGGCTTCCTCAAGACTGTGTTATCTCCACGGTGTTTATGTAATGGTTTAATGACCTGGTTCTTAGCATCTGCCTCACACTGCTGGCTTGGGCTAAATAAATATGGGTCCCAATGCCTTGTTCTACAAGCTGGTATTTTAACTGGCTTCAGGGAATTCCTGATTGTTCCATCATAAGGGCTGGGTTTTATTCTTTTTGTGTGTGTGTGTGTGTGACTGGTAAGGGGATCGTAACCCTTGGCTTGGTGTTGTCCGCACCGTGCTCAGCCAGTAAGCGCACCGGCCATCCCTATAGAGGATCCAAACCTGCGGCCTCGGCACTCCCAGCGCCACACTCTCCCGAGTGAGCCATGGGGTCGGCCCTGGGTTTTATTCTTAGAGTGTACACATATTCCTTTGTAAGTCTTTATGTCCACTTTTTTTTTTTTTTTTTTTTTTTTTT